AAAAAATGGGATTCTAACTCCCGGACCCCCCCCCCCCCCCCCTAGTTACCCAGTGGCCGATCAGGGGTTGGGGGTTCCGCGGGTTGGACCCGACTTTTATTTAAAAGATCAATGCATTTGAATGGTTGGAACCCCCACCCCCTTTTTCTCTTGAGTTGGGAACCCCCGGCTGGATCAGCCCCTGATTGCCCTTAAAGGGAGTTCCTCTATATTAAATATTGTATGTTGAGCGTGTCTGGTAGTCGGGTTTCTAATGCAGACACACCTATCCCTTAGTATGTTCGAATATGAATGTTTGTTTATTCTCAAGGAATAAGGGGGGGGGGGGCTTTTTGATAAAATCGTAAAATATAAAATACAGTTATGATTACCTTTATTAAACTGATACAGGTAAGTACTTTGGGTTGTACCATTTCCTTTATCTGTAGTCTCTTCTACCAAATCCAACGCTTGACTCAAAATGTCGTCCGTCTTATACCCGTCCATATTGACAACTGTACCAGGAGCATGATGTATTTTTTTGTTTGTAATAAGAATACCCGAAACAGTCAACCTTGACCTGCTGATCCATATTAGCACTTGGATTTAACGGGAATATGCAAAACAACTTTGACATTTTTAAAATATACTCACTTGTCAAAGTTTGAACGAAGATACCCAAAGAAAGGTTACTAGTGGGGTTTCATGTAAAAAAAAATGTTTTTCTTATAAATCATGGTTTGATATTGTCAATAAATATGCTATCGTGCTTTTTTCATTTAATAATCAATGTTAACAAATATAGTTTAGAATGGGGTGTTAGTTAGTTCCGGCCGACGGGGTTTCATATCCAGACACACCTATCCCTCGGTGTATAACTATTACATAATTGTTAATTGTAAATGCCCTCTGTGGGACCATGATTGGAATAATAAATATTTGATTTGGTACAAAGGTAACTTTTATCTATGTCTAGGTTAGTCTATGGAAAGGTATATACTATGAAATTTAGAGCGAGGGGCTTGCCCCGAGCTCTTAATTTCATAGTATATACCTTTTCATAGACTAACCAATTTAGCACATATTTACAACTCGAGTAATCTTTTAATTGGTCTATTGATAGTTTATTTTGGCTGACTACTTGTATCACAGGTGTTTGTAAAACGGAGCTCATTATCGAATTTTATGTTTTGTAAATCTACTCACTAGTATCATTGTAAAATATGTGATTTCAAAAGGCCCTTGACTCCAGAATGGAAAGTTTGATAGCTGCTGGTGTAAGTATGTATATTGATATAAAGCGTTGTTTTACTATACATGTACTTCTTTACATGGTAAGATGACAAAATGAATTGACCAAAAGCAGACAATAATTAAATTGCAGTAGAAACCTTACATGTTTTGATAACTCTTTTCAATTTCACAGTAAAACTAAAGTTATAATAAATTAAAATTATTTGAAACATATAGATAGTTTGTCCCCATAGATAGTCTAGCGGATAGCATTTAAAGGAAACTACCAATAGATCAGAGATTATAGGTTTTGTGTTTTTTATGTTTTTTTCAAAGTAAAAACTAAAAGATTAATCAGAATATGTATATATATATATATATATATATATAGGTGGCACATTCTCTTCAGACATTATCACGGTTTTTCAATTCAAGACATGTATGAAATATTTGCCACTGGACATTACGCAACCAGTAATCAATCAACCAATTCATGACGAAATAGATAAATTTCCCCAAGAAAGTTAATAAAATTACCAAATTACCTTAATTTCCCTTCACAGTAATTCATAGTACACACTTTTTTTGTGTACAAAGTAGTTGCATGGATGATAAATTATTACAATTTTAAGATAGCCCTGTACTCTAATCAAGGTATAAAGAACCATATTTGTTACTCTTTATTTAAATGAAAAAAAATATTGCAATTGTCAAAAACATCTTTTAGATCCAAAGATTTTAATAGCAGGATATGTAAAAATCAACGTGAAAACTAATTACAAACTATTTGATTTAATTTGGAACACAGCATTTTATTTCAAAATAGCTAATGGCAATTTTTGTTTTCATATCTTGATTACGATACAATGAAATCTTACCCTTGTGGTCATTCATGCGTAGTTACTTAGTACACGGAAAAAGTATGTACTATGAAAATTAGAATCATTTTTCAAGCAATATGATTGGGCGAGAAGTTGTGAGTATGTGCTAAAAATAGCCGAATCTTCTGGAGTTTTGTAAACACACACAACGTTAAACGATATACTGCTTCATAACGTGTGACCTCACGTGAGTGGTAAAATTTGTTGATTGATATGCAAGACTATTCTGAATGAATTAATCTACAAAGCGAGGACACTTTCCATTTTCATCAGCTAAGAGACGGCTAGCCTTTTTTTGAAAAGCTATTACTTGTACATTTTTATGGTCAATCTCGTGATGTTAGATCTGATGTGTTTGTTGCAATTCTTCTTTTAGAAGAAAAAACACTTATTGGTAGGACCTGTTTACTCTTCCAGAGCACACTATCTCAATCCCTGTTTTAAGTGGGATTCCTGCTGCTAAAATAAATGTTTGTATATTGTTTGTGAACTGTCTTTTTTGTCTATTCGTCTGTTTTTACTTTTTACCATGGTGCTGTCTACTTTTCTTTGAATTATGGATTTTGATTGTCCCATTAGTATTTAAAAGAACTGTTCATAACCAGTAATGTTTTGAACTGAGAAATCCAAATTTTGATCTGCAGTCTTCAGATCAGTTACGTCCTTTAACAAAGTCCATGCAAGAGTCAAGTCATGTCTGGCCAAGATTGCACACACTATACCCTACTAATCTAAAGCTACTTAGAAATAGTCAGTAATAATCAACAGTTATAGAAAAGTGTAGAAATAAGTAACATTAACAATACAAAATTATCTAATGTCTAAATTTTACAAACTTTGTCATATTTTATTGTGAATAATTTTATATAGTACACTCATGTGAGGATATATTTCAACAGTAATAACACCATTATTGGTCTGAAATGTATTAAAAATCCCATTCACCCATACAATTTTTAATTTCTTCAGATTCGATGTTCTTGAAAATGTTGTGTAGCAATGTGACATATACGGATCACTGTTATGTGAACCTATTCAAAGAAACAACAAACATGGAATTATTACTGAAAGCTTATTCCTCTAACAATCATGTCCTATATTTCAGAACTAAAAATGAGAAATTTACAATAGAGTATATAGTTAAAGTTTCCATTGGACTTGGCACTGGCTGCGTTTTTTTCGGATTATCGGTTGTATATTTCTATTTGCAATATCAGGTGAGAACATAAACAGACCAATGCTCATGACAATATAAATGTAAATTAGTTTTTTTTGTCATTTAGGGGCTAAATTCCAACTTTCCCTAAAGTCTAATCGATATAAAAATAAGACGATGTGGTATGATTGGCAATGAGGCAACTCTCCACAAGAGACCAAATGACACAGAAATTAACAACTATAGTTCACCGTACGGCCTTCAACAATGAGCAAAGCCCATACTGCATAGTCAGCTATGAAAGGCCCCAAATGACAAATGTAAAACAATTCAAACGAGAAAACTAACGGCCTAATTTATGTACAAAATAATGAACGAAAAACAAATATGTTACACAGCAACAAACGACAACCACTGAATTATAGGCTCCTGACTTGGGACAGGCACATACAGAATGTGGCGGGGTTGAACTAGTTTGAAGGCGCCAACCCTCCCCCTAACCTGGGACAGTGGTGTAACAGTACAACATAAGAACAAACTATAAAAATCAGTTGAAAAAGGCTTTACTCATCAGATGGATACAAATAGAAATACATCTAACAAAAACACAGAGTGGACGTGGCAGGTTACTTATACATCCCACAACAAAAAGACACTAAGTACAGATCTGAGAGTACTCGCAGTTACTGACAGTTAGTTCAGAGCCAATAACAACTAATAAAAAAAAAACATGCACCTAAGACTAAAATATCAATCAGTACACATCCAACATCCAATGGATTTAGTGTAAAGACGTCATTAACAGTCCGAGAAAAACATGACCTTGTGCAATGCCAAGATACAGGTATCGACAGATTGTAGAGCCATGAATGTGCATATGTATACAAAAATAATATTTAGTTTGATTTTAATTTACTGATAACAAAATCAACATTAATACAAATAAAAACAATATTCAAAGATCTAATTACAGTGTTGAATTGGTAACCTTTTAAAATAAGTTTATTTAAAGGATCGATAAGTTCAATCGTTTCTAAATTTCCGGACTCGGTAAGCACCACTCTGTAAAAAATTAGGATGTGCAATCCCGTTTAAATGTTTACTTTATGAATACGTGTGCACTGTGCCTAAAGTGCCACGGCTTAAAAGTTTGGTCTCGATAGTATCTAATATTCGGTACGGTAACGATCCAGCTACAGACAGAAAAAAAATGTAGGATTTCTCATTATTTATTTGTTATTTGTATGAAATTGAAGAATATAAAAACACATTATAAATTAACTATTTTCTATTCTGAGATGTTATATTTTCCACAACCGTTCTAGATAAATGGAGAAATAAGTTATATTGCGCGCCAAAATGATGACAAGAGTTGACCATACCTCGAATTTGTTTAATTTCTCATTAAATTGTGCACATTGTACAGAAAGAAACGTACGGAATATGATAATGTTTACCGAAAAAGGTACACTAAAACACTGAAAACGGATAACTTTAAATTTTTCAGGGAGAGAACGTCACTAATGTTGTTATAACTTGTGTCCAATCCCTTTTGCTTCCTTTTCAAATAAAATATGTTTCAACTAAGATAACTTTAAATCAATCAAAAAATCTTTCAAAAACTGGCGCGTAAAGACAGGGAAATAAGTAGAAAAATAAAGACAAAGTGATCAAGGTATATCAGAAATGTATTTGAAATATATTTATCAGGTGGTGGTACAATCGTTAATGTATTAATTTATTGCAGGATTTCCACAGAAAACAGACAGATGATTGGGATAGCAATAAATATAAACCTGTTGTGATTCTTGGTGGTAAATATTCATATCTCTAGTCAATGACTTATCATGAACACGAAATGGCTGGAAATAAGTTCTGTAGAACAAAATTGTATAAAAAAAGATGGTCACCTATCAAAATTATATAAAATCACTATATGAAGGTTGAACATCTAAAGGTCATCGCATGGTCTACAATAGTGGGCATACTGATCCATAAAGAATGGCAAGTCTAAAAAAGTGTTTACAAACAGATGATCAGCACATCAAACGAGAAACGACAGTAGGTTTAACTAAAGTAAACTACAATAAAAATGAGAAAGAAATAGATACAGAAAAACGATCATCTGATAACAGGTTCTTAACTAGAGACGATCACAAGAACATTTAGCTGAGTGAAATTAGAAAGTGAATATCCAGCATTCCCTAAATCTGAGACAGTACTATAGCAGCAACTGATATTACATACAATAAAATCAACTAAACCAGACTTTGATAAAATAAGGCTTTAAAGTATTTTAACATGAAAACGCAAATAAAAATTTAGACATTAAGGTTCATTTCATAGTATAAACAACATTTGAAACTTTAGACACAGACAAGAAGCACACGATTTTAAGTTTCTATTTGTATAATCAGGAATAAAAAAGTATAGTTTTTTTGGACTGTTCTGCTCTTTTGATTTATTTTGTTTAAATTTATGTTTTTTTTTTCTAATTGTTTAAATATATATATACATGTAATACAAATTATATAGTTCGATTTCTTTTTATTTGTTAAGGATCGGACTGCGCAATATGTTTAAAGCAGAAGGACAGTAGAAGTGAGCCGGTAGTAACTTTATTTTGTAATCACGGTATGTATAGTGTATAGTAGAAGTGAGCCTGTATTAACTTTATTTTGTAATCACGGTATGTATAGTGTATAGTAGAAGTGAGCCTGTATTAACTTTATTTTGTAATCACGGTATGTATAGTGTACAGTAGAAGTGAGCCTGTATTAACTTTATTTTGTAATCACGGTATGTATAGTGTATAGTAGAAGTGAGCCTGTAGTAACTTTATTTTGTAATCACGGTATGTATAGTGTATAGTTTTTATAGACGAACTTGAAATGTACATGCATGCATCTCCCTCTTTTTCATACTGGTTAGACGCTGATTATCATTGAACATAATCTTAGTACATTTCGGACCAGGTTAGGAGGCCCGCAGAATTGTTGGGCGGATTTAAGTGGTTGATTGAAAAAAAAATGCAATATCAAGTTTTATGGAAGAGAAAATACTGCCAAGTCAGTGGCACGCCCATCTTTGGAATCAAGAAAGATGAAAAGTATAATCTCGTATCATCTTTTTTTTATAGTTCTATCAGGTTTTACAAGACAAAAAATGACATTTTCGTGTAAATTAAAAGAGACAAAATTGGAACGGGTTAAAATTTCCCGTCAGTCGATGTAGGTATTTTTTAAAATTCAACTATTTAATAATTCAAGGATGGGAAGGCCATAAGACGTGACTTCACCGTTATCAGATTCTGCATTTAAAGTGAAACTGTGCACAATGGATAGCACATTGCGTTTAACACAAAGAAAATGAAAATGTCCGATTTTAAGTCCAATGAGTCCAGTTTTCAAAAACTGAAATATTTTAAATTATCGTATTTCTCTATGTGTATATCAGTTCTTCAGATAATCCATGATCACGGTTCGTCAAGTTGAGAAGTTGAATTAACGATAGAGTATACGACGCCATACTGTATTGATTGGACGATATTAAATTTAGACCCGAAGCAATAGCGAAGGTTCAAAAATATTTAAAAGAACTATGTTACGGGTCAAGAAAAAGCTGAAATGAACGCTATAAACAAATCAACAACTTTTAATTCATAGATATTGTAAAGTATCAGTCGCTCAACATAATTTTAAATAAATATGTTCGCTGCACTCACTCTTAAAAAATCTTAACGTAGGACTAACCGCAGATATCATACCCAGAAAGCCTAAAATTTATTGATATCAGCTTCTCGACACAAAATCAATCAAATTTCACTTACCAAAATAGCTTTATATTGTTGATTTGCGGCTGATATTTTAACAATCTCTACATTGTAAAAAAACACAAAGAGTTGACAGATGTATAGACATATGGTCATCCTCGGACTTCCTGTGTGACAATCTGACGCCGCATAAAATTGTGTGTGCCAAACTCTCTTCACGTTAAAAGAAGACTGAAATAACTCTCTGAGGTGTCTGTATGTAACCTGTTACAAGGCAAACTTACCGCTTCTATCCAACATACCCTTATTTGTCAGTGGCAGTCAAAATTTCTCGCCCTTCAGTTCGGGCGGCTCACATTGCAGAAGCTGAATCTACCTTCTGTATGAATATTAATTTGTTCTCGTCCTGATTATTCACGAAATAATTCCCTTTAGATGTTAACAAGCAGCTCTCAATCATGTAAAATATCGGACTATTTAAAAATAAAATTAGCAACAACAATAAATTTGGTAAAAAATGTGAATAAATATGGTTAAGGCTGTCACAGAGACAAATTTGGCCGCCTTTGAAATAAACTAACACAGATTTTTAATTTATAAAATCAACAAAATGAAGCTGCGCTTAAAGTTTGATACAGCTATTCTAACGTCAAAATAAAACCATTTCCTATGGAACTGTTGCATTATGGAAAGTTGACATAATGTATGGGTTCCAGAATCGACTAATAATACCTAACTATAAAATGAAAGCATATGAAAAAATGCATTGAGTGGAAGAATTAGTGAATACACATGGAATAAACTGTGTAGTGGATATTGAATTTGTCTTTCTTTAATTTTGTATTTTCTTAAAAATGCATCAAATATTTGGTAGTGGATGTTCTGCAAACAGCAGCGGCGGAGCTACACTTTTAGATATATCGTGTCTTTGATATGAAGCAAGAGCAATTTTATAATTTCTAAATACAAATATTACTTTTGCTACTCTATTGCAAGTGGATTGATAGTTGCCGATGATACCATCCACCTAAAAAAAATGCGCTTTTGGTACTTCATTTGAATGATTAAACCATACATTTTTATTGAAACTTCACTAAATAAAATTATGTAATGAATTGAAATAAAACTTAGTTACAACCATGAACTATGACGCTATTAGCTATTCTGCTTAGGTCCCGTTTTGATTTTTATCCTCCCAAATGTAATGATCTGGCTAAAGAAACTTTTGTCTTTTGTTTACATTAGAGTTTACATTATGAAAAAAATATTATAGATACACATGTCGTGTGTATGTAATTAAAGCGGTACAGGTATCCTTCGTACATAATGATACCTTGTACGCATCAGAGACAAACTGAGCACTTTACTGTTTAAGCGAATTATTGTTTCTTAAAAGATAGGATGTGCTCATTTAATAAGATGAAGGAATAGAGCGTAGTGAATTTGAGAAGTATTGCGTACATTTAAACATTACTCCGAAAGTAATAATGTTGCAGAACAATCCGGGATATTTGGTCAAAACTTTATATGGTCCGATAAAAATGTTAGGAACTATAATTAGTTTATATACTTTATGACATTTAGGACAGTATGAAATTTTGAATTGTTGTTTGAATATTTATTTTAACTTTTTTACTTGCTGCTGTTCTTTAGGTTCTAGTAAACTCTGAATTCAATATAAGCAACTAAATGCTATGTCATAAGAAAAGGTTGCAAGGAAGCTATTGAACCACGAGTTCCAAATGGTAAAGTTAAAATCATCCCTTCGAAAATTTTACGGACGCCATCACGAGTTGGTTATGGAAAAGCTGTTTCACAGATGACGACGGATATGTTCAAATTGTTGTAACCACAATCCCTTCCTCCTTTCTTCGAATGTGACCTTCCGAATTAGACTTATCACCAGGTTTAAACTTACATGAGCATTACGACGGGTACCACATGTGGAGCAGAATCTGCTCATCCTTATGGCGCACCCGAGATCACCCCGGTTTTTGGTGGGGTTCGTGTTGCTTAGTCTTTAGTTTTCTATGTTGTGTTTTGTGTACTGTTGTTTGTCTTTTCGTCGTTTTTCGTTTTTTGCCATGGCATTGTCAGTTTGTATTCGACTTATGAGTTTGAATATCCCTTTGGTATCTTTTGCATTTTTAAAAACTGTATCCGGCGGCGTAAGTTGCAACGCGCAAATTCTATTCAACGTTGCATGTGATTACTACGAGCTGTTGTTCATTCCCCAAACCAGTACGATTTTTAGCTCACCTTGCCGAAAATGCCATGAAGCTGTTGCCATCACTTGGCGTCCATTTGTCCGTTGTCGTAAACTATTAATAAATCTTTGCCTCGAAACTATTAGACCAAAATGTTACCCAACTTAACCTGGATGTTCTTTAGGGTATCTAGTTTAAAAACTGTATCTAGGGATTTGATCCATACACACTCATGGCCACTGTTTCTAAAAATAGAACAGGTGGAAAATTCAAAGTTTTGGGCTTATATCTCAAAAACTAAAGCAGTTACAGAAAATCTGACATAGTATAAGATTGATCAGCAGGTCAAGGACTAGGTCTTGCAAAATTTCCAGAAAAATCGGACAATCAATTTTGGAGTTATTGTCTCTGAAATATTATTTTTTTCAAATTTGGAAAATTTTGGTTATTATCTTCAAAACTATAACAAATATAGAGATTTTTTAAACAATAAAAACGACCACAACCATAAGATCTACATTAAATCATATTAGGCAGAAATCGTCAAATGACCCTAAAAACGAGTTATTGCCTTTAAATAATTATTTTTACCCTTTTGTAGAAAGTGTCTGTATTGTTTATTTTCATTGTTTTACTGTATTATATGTATATCATGTATAATGTTTGTAAGCCATTGGCCCATATGGGCGTAAAGTGCCTTTTCAATAAAGAATAAAGAATAAAACTCTAGCTGATCGAGATAATCTTTTGACAGTAAAAATGTTCAACAATATATGATATACAAGTCAACATGGAAGAATTCTTGGTACTGAAGTTGTGTATCTTTGTACATTTTGTATTTACAAACAGTTTTCCCTTTATTTGTATTCGTGCTATTATGTTCCTTTTGGTAGAATAATTCCTTGCGTGACTCTCGGTATTTATACATCCAGCTATCGGGTTTTTACTTTGGGCGTTCCTGATGCAAGTGGGTCCTGAGGTGAGATTTAGACGCAAGATGATTTTACAGTGTTGTTTCCATTTTTTCCCCTTGCATTTATATTTCTTTATCGAGAAAGTGTATACTATATGTGGATTGTACTATCAACTACAAATTTTTTTTATTGGCGTCTGTGTCAATTTACTATCAACTAAAAAAACCTTTTTGTTGGCGTCTTTGTCAGATTTACTATCAACTACATGTTTGTTTGAATTTTTTAGTCAGTTGTGTTGTATGTCTATGATGTATGTTTACAATCTTTAGTTTTTCTATGTTAAGTTTTGTATATTGATGTTTGTCTTTTGGTCTTTTTATTTTTTTGCCATTAAGTTGTCAGTTTATTTTCGACTTATTAGTTTGAATGTCCCAATTATTATCACATTAACTTATTATGCCTGTTTGGGTTGCTCAACCAATGTTGTCAAAAAAACGGAACTATAAACAAATGTCATACAAGTAGAAAGTTTAGCTAGATATAAAACCAGGTTTAATCAACCATTTTCTTCGGAAAATGCCTGTGCCATGTCTATAATATGAAAGTTGTTTTCCATTCGTTCCGTTGGTTGATAACGTTTGATTTTGTCAGTTTGTATGGACTTCCCCTTTGATTTTTTTTATACTTTTGTTTACCCCATATACGAGTTATTGTCATTGTTTGTGTTTTTTACAGAAACTGTAAGTACACTCATCAGAGATACCAGGCTTAAAATTTGTACCAAAGAAGCGCGTTTCGTCTACAAAAGATTTATCAGTGATGCTCGAACCAAAACGATTTAAAAAGCCAAATAAAGTACGAAGTTGAAGAGCATTGAGGACACAAAATTCCGAAAGGTTTTGCCAAATACAGCTAAGGTTGTCTTTTCATGGGGTAGAACATTCCTTGTATTTCGAAAAATTCAATGTTTTGTAAACAGTTAATTTTTAAATTTTGACCATAACAATGATAATTCATATCAACACAGAAGTGCTGACTACTGGGCTGATGATACCTTCGGGGAGGAAACCTCCACCAGCATTGGCATCGACCCAGTGGTTGTAAATGAACTCATCATATATACCATCATCTTGGCCAAAATTGTCAAATGACCGCTTATAGCAGTTATTGCTCTTGAAAAATGGTTTTATCTTTTGCAGAAGCCATTATAGATATAATTAACGAAAATCTAAAGCACAATAAAATCTACAATTAAGTCAACATGGCCGAAATTGCCAACCTACTCATATTTTAAAAGTGTTATTGCCTTTGAATGACCATTTTTACCAATTTAGGAAATTTTTTTCACAAACAAAGATAGATAGAGAGCAACAATATATAGCAAATATGTTCAGCAAAATAAGATCTCTATAAATAAGTCAACATGTTCGAAATAGTCAATTAACACGGAGAGGAGTTATTGCCTTAACAGATGATTTTCCCCATTTTTGTAGTTTCAGCACAAACTATTATCAGTCGTTATGACCGAAATTGTCATTCGACTCCTTATGGAAGTTATTTCTTCTGAATGATGATTTTTATCACTTTTTGCATTTTTGTCAAAAACTATGAAAGTAAGAGAGAAACTTTAAAAAGCAAAACAGAACAGCCAACATGGTCAAATTGTCACGTACACTAGTTATAGGATTTATTGCCATTAGATGACGTCTTTCGTATCCCAAAAACTTCAAAAGACTTTAAACTGTAAACAGTAAAAATGATTATCAATACTAGACTAACAAAAATGCCATTAAATAAGATCAACAAATAAGCAAACATAACTGATTGCAATGAAGGAAAACAATAAATATAAAAATGGCATATTTTGTACCAGGTGAGCGATTCAGGCTCTTGGGAGCTTCTTGTTCTTACACAGGCGTACAAGGTATCATCACTATGTGAACTATTTTAAGAAATTAAGGACTGTTATTCTAGAATAAAGAGTAATTATACAATATAAGTCACAACTATTTTATATATCAGGCTGTTTTGGCTATTAAAATACCCAAAGAGTTATCTGGGGGTATAGCAATATGACAAACATTTTTCCCATTTGGCAGTACAACTCAACTAAAGTCCGTTTGGTTGTGCAGAATGTATAAATACACAGCCATGTCCTTTCAAAATTAGGCGTTTTAATTGTATCATTGTGTAAAGAGAGAATGTTACACTCTCTGCATGTTTAACGTTCGTCGGTGACCTGTTGTAAGGCAATATTTCTGTCAGTTTCCAAAAGATATCTTGGGTTTTCCAAAGGCAGTCGAAATTTCCGTCCTTCATCCAGATCGACCATAATTCAAAACCTACCTATAAAAAGTTTTGTTCTAGTCCAGCATGAAATATTTGCCACTTATTTGCGTTAATTAAAACAACAGTCAAAATGGCTGATTGTTCCTGTAAATTAAAAATTTTGGCGTTAACGATTTAATATTTAAAAACGATTTGGCATATTCTCAAAGTTGTGCCTTAAAATATTCGTATTATATAGTTATCATAAATACAGGTTTGTTTGCCTTGTACATTTTCTGCAAAGTAATATGCTTTCTCAATTGACATTTAAAATTTTATTTCGATTGATGTATACATTTAAAAAGTATATCATGACTATTTAAATTTACTATTCTATCATTTTATGTCCAGAATTCCATAAAAATTGTGCTCGTGGATGGCTTTTAAATAGTGAAAAGGAAAGATGCTGTCTTTGTCGTTCCTCCATAAGTTCATTTACGAAATCCGAACTAACAGACGCCAAGAAAGAAGAAAAGAGTTTCATTCAGTCGAATTCAAACACATGTCGACCAGCAATACAGGTCAGTGTATAATATGTTGAGCTACTAATCCCTTTTGGGGTTCTGTGTCCGGAGCTATTTTCTGAGTTGGCCGCCCTCAGAATCCCTTATCAAGCCCTATCAAGTCTATTCGTGAAAATTTTTGAAAACTACCTCATCTCGAACCGATGCCTTTTACGCCTACTGCACCATTCCGTACACTCGAAGTAGGTAAGTTTAAGGTAGTTATAGATATAGGGCTTAGTTAGAATCAGTAAAGCAACATAGACAATGAAAATTTGATCAAATCGATTCCAGTGTTAATCGATGTTGTCGGAAGGGATAATTGTGCCAAATGTAGAAAGTCCTTGAAATGATATTTTAACACTTTATAAATTTCGTGCGTCCGAACCGCGGTACTTGATTCATTTTCACCAGGAACGCTCAAACCCAAACATTTGAAAGCCAATTATGTATAATCACTATGAAATATTAGGCGCTATACTTCCAAAAGTGACATAACAAGAATAGCCAAGAAAAAGGAGTTGAACCTTAAGATTCTTAGTAATTTCATAACGGGGAAGTTCTAGAAAAGTATATAATACCTCATGTCAGTACCGAAGCACTGACTACTGGGCTGACAACACACTGTCCCCAAACAGTGCTATCGACCCAGTGCTGGTAAATGAAAATAAAACTTTTTAAATTTCGTGCGTCCGCATCTCCAAATGGTGGAGTTGAAATCATCCCTTCGTAAATTTTACATATGAGGCCTTTAACCTCAAAGATGTGAAATCTAAGCCTCCGGATTGCTCATGTGCATCGTCGCAATACAATTATAGTCCAGCGGGTCATGTTATTACTGGCGACCTTGGCATCGTTACCAATGAACAACTAAGAGAGTTGTTAGCCAAGGGACCAAAATATAGAATTCCCCAGCCCATCAACTGGAAAAAGAACTTCAGGTTACTGATAGATGCAGTTGAGGACTATGCAAGAAAATGGGTAAAGCGCGAACCAGACGAACCAGAACTGGACACTTTGTCTGAATGGATCAAAGCTATTCTATCATGCATTCAGAAGCGCATTCAAAAACTACGATGGACTATTAGCACAAGAGTTACTAACCCTTTCAAGAATCCGGATGTTCTGGATGCTTTATCCTCTTTGCATGACAAATATGTCGTTGTTCCAGCAGATAATATTGTCTTCATATGTAAAACCATTATTTGCAATGTCTCACAACAGAGCTTGGAATAAATAGAACTACTGGTAATCCTACATTTTCTTTAACATCATTTACCAAGGACGAAATTTTACAAAATCACAAATCTGTGCTTCTTTCTTTTGGTATCAACATCAAAGAAAAGGAAGAAAATTTACCATCATTATACTGGATACCTAAACTTCACAAAACTCCTTATAAAGAACGCTACATAGCTGGGTCATCAAAATGTTCGACTAAACATCTTTCTAAAGTACTGACTACTATTCTTTCTACAGTTAAAGATGGGCTTCAAAAATATTGTGATGAGATATATTCTACCAGTGGTGTTAACCAGATGTGGATTCTCAAAGATTCGAAAGATCTACTGCTTAATCTTCGATCACAGTCTTTGCAATTTTGCAGCAACATGAAGACTTTTGATTTTTCTACTCTTTACACTACTATTCCCCATGCTCAATTGAAAGATCGACTTCACCATCTCATTAAACAGAGCCTTTTCTATAAAAATGGGAGTCGTAGATACAAATTTCTTGTTTTGGGTTACAATAATTCATATTTTGTGAAGAACCACACTGAATCTACCAGAAAATATACTGAAGATATTATCAAAATGCTCATTTTTGATCGACAATATATTTGTTGAGTTTGGAGGATTTATATTTCAACAGACAGTCGGTATTCCAATGGGTACTAATTGTGCACCCCTACTGGCCGATTTGTTTTTGTACTCGTATGAAGCAGAATTCATTCAGTCTGCTTGGAAATAATATATAATTTGGATGAAGTTTAAGATTTTTACAAAATTGGTAGTTGACCATCAGGTTCTAAAGTGTGGAGTTGGTGGATTCAAAAATTCCTCATTGAGCTGCAAAAGTTTCTTATCATCTACTTCCGATTTCACCTGGATAGATACACGCTTGATAAAGCTAGTTAGGCTAGCGAAATATTGCGTTTATTTTCATCATTTTGTAAATATTTTAAACATTCTTATATTTACATACTAAACAGTGTGTTAAAATTACATTGTTAGGCAATCTATATATATATATAAACAAGTTTAAATTGAAAACAACGTTCAATCCTATGATTGCGTTGGATAAAAACCGCAATTTTTATACGTGTGCATGCAAAACAAATTTCTTGGTAGAGGAGTCTAAATACAGCACAAACAACATTTTCCAAAAGACCAAAAAAGTGAAAAAGTATATTTTAACAAAACGCATTTGACCAGCAGGTCGAACAACTGATGTTCTTAAACCCTGCTGACTGCCATTGGCGATTGCCAAATAAACGGATCACCAGATGTAACAAAATGGATCTTATAATAATTTATTACCAAACAGAAAACAATAAACCTGCGGAAAAGATGGTATACCGCAAACATGAGGTGCAAAAATTTGTACACCATATCCGGATTTCGACAATTAATGTCTCTTCAGTGATGGTATGAATCGAAACGGTATTTGGAAGGCCAGATAATTTACCTCAATTTAGGATAGACTCTTGAATTTTGAAAGAGTCGAAATAGGATGAACGGATCATATAAACCCGAAGGCAAATATAATACAAGCCCAAACGAAAAAATATAAACAAGTCTAAATTGAATACAACGTTCAAACCTATGATTGCGTTGGATAAAAACCGCAATTTTTATACGTGTGCATGCAAAACAAATTTCTTGGTTGAGGGGTCTGAATACAGCACCAACAACATTTTCCAAAAGACAAAAAAAGTGAAAAAGTATATTTTAACAAAACGCATTTGACTATATATATATACGTCTAAACATGTGACAACTTTATGACAGACATTCTCCATCGGATAACACGTGGTTATACAGGGCTAACATCATAATATATATATAATTCGTCTAAAATTTAGCCCAATAATGTTAGATCTTTAAATTTGCGTTAGCAAATTTTTGTTCTTCCCTCAGCGGGATTCGAACCCATGCTTCTGTGACATCGTAGCAACACCGCCTGTACCTTGTCTAGCGCCCAAGACCACCCGACAGGCTAGGTGGTCGAGTGGTGCAAGGTTCGAATCCCGCTGAGGGAAGAACAAACATTGTTGGGCTAAATTTGATACGAATTATATATATAATGGCCGAAACGTATGGAAAATTGTGTTATAGTTTTTATTATATATATATATAGAGAGAGAGAGAATAAACTATATGATTGCCAATGAGACAACTACCCATAAGGACAAAGCAAATACAGGCCACGTACGGCATTCAATAATGGACCAAAACAACTAATAGTAAGCTGTGAGAGGTCACAGTATGACAAAATGTGAAATAATTCAAGAGAAAACCAACGACCTGATTTAAGCTAAAAACAATAAACGAAAAAAATATATGGCAAATTGCAATCTACGACAATCACTTATTTACAGGCTATTGGCTAAGGAACGGGGACATACGAATCTTGCGTGGTTAAACATGTTTGTGAGCGGTAAACCAGTCCCCTTACCTAGAAGTTGTGTGACAGCACAACACAAGAATTATTTATTTTATACGCCTTAAATTATTCTAGTATAGTACTCTTTATTTTTTTTAATTATTGTTGCAGATCAGTTAAATACTGACAAATTATAGTTGTCAAGTTGGGTTAAAAAGAGTTTGACTAGGAATCATTGATGGCTGCGCACTTGACAAAAAACTTGATGTTGAAAAGGCCTACATGAGTGCCATTTGTTGCCGTTGATATCAGAGTATAAACAAGTTTTGAAGATTGTTAATGGTAGTGACTGGATTCGGTAGTGAAAGGAAATGAAAACATAAGATTGTGAGATGGTTATATCTTGAAGCGTTTATATAGTTTTTCTATATAGTGTCGATTTCTGACAGAAAAACTTAAATGTACACCATGGAATTGTTAACTGTGCATAACAGTATCGATAAATACTAATGTTATAGATAGAACAAGGAAATAGTTGTCATGGAGGGAAATTTCTTTCATTTATTTTAGTAACTTTGTTATTTGTTTCATTTATACTTTCTGTTATGAAATACCATTTTACATACTAGTAGTTATCGATCATACCCTAATGGATACACATTGCACTGCATAATGACGCCTTAATATCTTTCATATATTAATGTTAACCATGTAGATTAGGTCACTACCGTGTGTTCCAGAATTCACTTTGACTGACTATTCATGGTTATATTTAGCTTAAACTTATGTTATCGCTAGAAACTATCTAGTGAATGAGTCGCAAACAATTCGATTTGGTTGCTGCGCAATAGTGTAGTTCATGCAAGGCAAGTAATACGAAAATAAATCTCGATAACTGTAGAGCGTCCGAAAAAGTCATCTAGATTTAACTCATTAGGAACACTCAAACCTAAGAATGGGAAAGTCACGGATGTATAAGTACGTAGAAACGTTACGAGCTATATCACCAAAGGACCATAAAAAGAATAGCCTGAGGTTGGAACTATTCTTTAAGAGCACCTTTTGATATCACTTTCATGTATTGGTATCCTTTAATTTCCTAAGCTTTTTGGTACATCTGAAGTTTCAACTGTATTGTAGCTACGTTGATTTTGATTTGCCTAATTAATGTATTGTTCCCTGGATTTCTGTTTCCGGTCTAACGCAGTTAGTTTTGACAGCTTACCTAGATGATTTACAAACATATATGGCAAATAAAGTGATTCGTTATTTTATGTCCGACTCGTCTAGACTCAGTCCACATGTTTTTTTTTAATGTATACCAATTGATATAGAGGACAATAGCAACTCTGTACGTTGGATTGTTTACAGTTCATCAGAATATCAAGAAACATTAAATAAGTTATCAAATGAAGGCAACATTAGGTCATAAATCGATTTAACTGAAACAAATCCGGGTCACAAACCAAAATCGAGGGAAACACATCAACTATAAGAGAAAAACAACGGAACAACATAAACACTGAAGCATACATAGAAACGGACTATTTGATAACAACTGCCATATTCCTGAATTGGTACAGGACATTTTAAGAAAATTTCAGGAAATATGGCAGTTGTTATCAAATGGTGGATTGAACCTGGTTTTATGGCTAGCCAAAATGCTAAAATGACAACATTACGTGACAGGAATACATTAGAACTAAACGCAAGAACACTCAGGACAGAGACATAAAATAAATAATATAATAGTACATTACAACATGTAAACCAATGAATAACAACGGACACCTCTCATTTACACCACAATAGAATTATGAACTGTCCGTCACGAATGTATCAACGCCACAAAAAGTGACGTCTCAGGTAAATTTCTGAAAATAGAATATAAAATTGGGATTAAGTTTGAAATGGTGTTATTTTATGTATTTTTTAACCATTACAAGAATATTAATATAGAATTGTGTTAGTAATGGTGTAATTATTTGTATTTTTTAACCATGTCGGTTTTTCTTCTAAATCAAAACTGTAAAAACAAATTAATCCTGTGCATATAGTAGCTTTAAATTATAAATCATATAAATGAACTAGCTGATTAATTATCTTAATTTTACATGCATGTAGAAAATAAAAATAGAATTCAAACCACAAACGATAAGACATAAAATAATATCCAACCAGAATTACAAACGAAACATCGTAACTAAATACATGAATGTTGGATGTATAAATACCGAGACACGTCTAATAGCAATGCGAATTCACACTCGGGGAAAACAGTCATATTCGGGAATAAGTCACGTTCGGTACTTAGCAACCAGACGACGTAGATGGTAAACCACAATCTAAGGCGTAGTAAAAATGTCGTTAGTTAGTTTAGACACAACCACATCGTATAGATTAATCAATTCGTGATGGTGTCATTTTTAATCTTTCCTCCTCGTAACTCTGTTTGAGCAGTTTCTACGTAAGGAGCACGCTCCTGTATATGCAGTCCTTATAGTGTGAACATGCACGAGCATATCGTATCAACTGAGATTTATAAACACCATACGATGGGACAGAAGGTATGCCGCTTTTTTGCGCCTGTCCCAAGTCAGGAGCCTCTAGCCTTTGTTAGTCTTGTATTATTTTTAATTTTAATTTCTTGTGTACAATTTGGAGTTTAGTATGGCGTTCATTATCACTGAACTAGTATATATATTTGTTTAGGGGCCAGCTGAAGGACGCCTCCGGGTGCGGGAATTTCTCGCTACATTGAAGACCTGTTGGTGACCTTCTGCTGTTGTCTGTTCTATGGTCGGGTTGTTGTCTCTTTGACACATTCCCCATTTCCATTCTCAATTTTACTGATGAGAAATTGGAAATTGATAATTGGGAAGTTGAAATCGTCCCGTTTGTCATAGATTTTCGTGTGAAGTCGTCCATCTGTGTCAATTTTGAGGAAGAGATCAAGGTATGAAGCAGTCCTTCTAGTATCAGTAGTATCCTTAATTTCAAGTTCACTGGGATATATGAGATGTAAGTACTGATTGATATATGGGTTATTCAGTGATAGGACATCATCAATATATCTGAAAGTAAAATTAAAGAATTTCGCAAGGTGCTTTTTCCTTTTGTCTTTTTGAAGGTTCTGAATGAATTCTGCTTCATACGAGTACAAAAATAAATCGGCCAGTAGGGGTGCACAATTAGCACCCATTGGAATACCGACTGTCTGTTGAAATATCAATCCTCCAATCCAATAATATCATCTTCAGTATATTTTCTGATAGAATCAGTGTGGTTCTTCACAAAATAAGAATTACTATAACCCAAAACAAGAAATTTATATCTACGATTCCCATTTTTATAGAAAAAGCTGTGTTTGGTGAGATGGTGAAGTCGATCTTTCAATTGAGCATGGGGAATAGTAGTATAAAGCGTAGAAAAATCAAAAGTTTTAATGTTGCTGCAAAATTGCAGAGATTGTGATCTAAGATTTAGGAGTAGATCTTTAGAATTTTTAAAAATCCACATCTGATTGACACCACTGGTTGAATATATTTCATCACAATAGTTTTGAAGGCCATCTTTTACTGTAGAAAGAATAGTAGTCAGCACTTTAGACAGCTATGTATCGTTCTTTATAAGGAGTTTTGTGAAGTTTTGGTATCCTGTATAATGACGGTAGATTTTCTTCGTTTTCTTTGATATTAATACCAAAAGAAAGGACAAATTTGTGATTTTGTAAAATTTCATCCTTTGTAAATAATGTTAAAGAATATGTAGGATTACCAGTTTTGCTGTTTATTCCAAGCTCTTTATTGAGACATTCCAAATAATGTTTTTTACATATAAAGACAATATTTATCGGAGGCTTTATCTGCTGGAACAACAACATATTTGTTATGCAAATAACGCATCCACAACCTCCGGGTTCTTGAATGGGTTAGAAAACCTTGTGTTCATAGTACATCGTAGTTTCTGAATGCATGATCGAATAGCTTTGATCCATTCAGACAAAGTGTCCAGTTCTGGTGCATCTGGCTTGCGCTTTACCCATTTTCTGGCATAGTCTTCAACTGCATCCATCAGTAACCTGAAGTTCACTTTCCAGTTGATGGGCTGGAGAATTCTATATTTTGGTCCCTTGGATAACAACTCTCTTAGTTGTTCATTGGTTACGATGCCAAGGTCGCCAGTAATAACATGACCAGTTGGACTAAATGACAAAATGACAGCAAACTGGGTTTTTTTAATCTTGAAGGTAAGAAGGTTGAACTTAAGAGGGCACCTAGTACATATCGCCGTTCTAGAAAAATGATAATCTGTACCAAAGCCACTGTATGTAATGACCAAAGAAGTTTGTCATTTCTTTTGTTTCGCTATTTACGCTCGAATATATATTTGCCCACCCAATCAAAATTTTCTAGATTAAAGGCGGTTCCGTAGTGAAATTGTAGCAAATAAAAATACAAATTTCTTTCATTCAAATCGCTTTTCTGGAGTTACCTTCATCAGAAAAAAAAAACCAAAACATTTGAAGACCTGGGCTCTCGGTCATGAAACTTTACTCAGTACTCGGAGTACAAAATTTGTGCTTGAAACACCAAATCCAGGATTTTGATTGGTTGATTTCTGAGTATGAGTACGAAAATCGTGATCGAAAGTTTTATGACCGCAAGGCCAGGGATGTATAAATACGTAGAAACGTTATGATCTATACAGTCCGCCAAGAGTTAAGCACCACCGAAATATAACTTGCAATATTTTTTTTAACTATTGCGAAAAAATTATTAATGTTTGGTGTTATGAATTGCCTTTAACATACACTAAGAAAATGCATAACGACCAAAAAGATTGAACTCTGATAAACCCGACAAGGAACTTTTTATTAAAGGTCTTCTGCACTTTTACAAATACACTGTTTTGATACCTTTAAATCATCTTCCTACTGTCCCGCGTACAGGTGAAATTTGACCTTCATCAAGTCATTGTGTAATATGGTAAGGCGTAAGTTATCTGTGGCTGAACGTTGGCAAGCAATTGGCATGTCAAATGCCGGTAGGAGCACTAGGAGCACAATTTTAATGTTAATCACACCGTCATTGTCAGACTTTTACAACGTCATGTTGACACAGGTACTGTAAATGATAGACCAAGGTCCGGAAGACCCGTTTAATCACCCGTCGTGATGACAGACTGCTTATTCGTCGTGCTAAAGCCAACCCATTTACTCCTGACCCACAGCTTAGACACCACTGGCTTCCGGGTGGTCGTGTTAGTGTTCGAACATTGGTCAGTCGACTTCTTAGAGGCAACCTAAGAGCACGTCATGTTGTCAAGAGACCTGCCCTAACAGTCAGGAACCGTATAATCAGGTTTCAATGGGCTAATGACCATCGACGCTGAAACATGAGAAGCTGGCAAAAAAATCATTGGTCAGATGAGAGTAGGTTTCTGTTACGACAAGTAGACGGCATAATACGAGTTTGGCGGGAAAATAAAACTACCTATGACCAAAACAATATTTGCCCAACGACTGCATTTGGTGCTGGTGGTGTTACAGTATGGGGTTGCTTCTCATACCGTTGTAAGCTGGGTATGCATATTCTGCAGGGAAACATGAACGGACAGACATAC